GAGGACTTTCACTGTGTGGTTTCAAAAAAAATAAAATAAAAATCTAGTATAATGTACAGTTCTGTTTAATCCAGAGTGCGTCAGCGTTACTGGTAGGGCAGGGAACATTTACCAGCATTCAGGATCTGGCGTAACTGTCCTTTATGCAATCTGGTCTAAGCAGTTAAGCAATCTAATAGAAGAACAGAGAGAACAGAGGATGGATGGGAGCAGTTGCTGTGTATTACTGGGGTTATTACACAGGCTCTTCCCATCACACCAATAAAACGTATTAACTTTGATGACTACAATAGATGACAGGATGTTTGAAAACCTCAAGGACTTCACTTCCCAGTCCACAGATGTAACACAACACCATTAATCTGCACATTCTTACGATCTCATTAGTGGCAAACAGCAATGGAGTACAGGTTAAAAAAAACTCAAAATCTTTGAAGCACCAGCATTAGCAAGTTGGTCTCAGCAGACCATTCACTCACAGCTGGGCAGAAGCAACTGGCTCTGGCTTCTTTCCCCCTCGTTGACCACATTAGAGAACAGACATTCATTAAAATAAAAAAATATTTTATTTTATTTTGTCTTAATAAGACAGGAGGGAGCACTGTCTATTGAGCCAGTCCTAACATCCCAGAATGAGGCTTTGACCATTGAGCAATGTCTAAATAACAGGTTGACTTCAAAGGGCAAGTATTCGGTTTATCCATGTGTAGTAGTGTGTATCTTTTTGCACTTTTAGAAATTAAAAACAGAGAATTATAACTTCCTCTAAAATCTTGGATTTTAATGGATTTAGCAAAGACCTTTATTTTGAAGATTACAGGAAACACTTTTGAATTGGGGCTTGAATTGCTATTTGTAAATCCAAGTCCAACAAGCTGTAAATAACCCCCAACTATAACATCTTAGGGAGGCAAACAATATATTAAAGCTGCCAATCCTTCATTAGTGTAGTTATGAGTAGGTTTATGTATATATACTACTTATATACTACTCGTACTCATACTACATGTGTGAGAAAGATCTGGTTATTTTGTCTGGTTATTTGTAATTTAGGCATGTTGTGTTATTTTGTAAAATTTAATTTAAAATTGTCCTAATTATAGATAATTACAAAATTCTAATATAATTCTATCAAGTGTCAGATCATCGATCTAAAATAACTTTGTGTATTAGCAGGCAACGGTTCTTAGGGTTAGACCCACTACATAAGCAAACCAAAACTGTTTCCGCTCCCTACCAGAGGTGAGCACGCGGAGAGTCTTGGCCACCCCGGCCCACGGTGGTCCCAGAGATATGAACGCTTTGATGTATCTGTCTTTCCAGGCCTGTGGCTGCTGGTTGAGGAAGTACAAGGTGTACATGTTGCCCATGCTGTGAGCGATGAGCACCACGGGCCCGCCAGCCTTCTCCGCCATCTCTTCAATCATCTTCTGCAGCGCCAGGAAATACTCTTTATTCTCATCTGATAGAGGAGAAAAGACCAACAGAGAGAAGATGAGTAAACAAAGTTACTGTGATTACGTTAAGTTTATTTACCCCATTTATTCTGGCTTCACTGCCTAAAATACTCTTTCAAAACAAACCAATCAGTGTTTCTTCTTGTTCCTACTGTGCTGTTTGAATGCTGTATGTGCAGAGTTTGACACAGTTGTTGTGCCACATGTTGTAAATGTACCAGTGTAACAGTGTGTGTGTGTGTGTGTAGGGTTGCTTACTGGGGGCTTTCCTCCAATCATAGGGAGCTCCTTTGACATCATCATCTCTGGTGTAGCCCCACTCCACCAGCGCCTGCACTATAGTAAAGAAATACATGCCTACGAAGACAAAAGAAGAAAGCATCGTACAGTTCAGTCTCTTACTCAGAACGTGGGCTGTGACAAAAGTCTGATTCCTGTTTGTCTGTCTTTGTGGGGACCCATTTAGACCTTTTTCTGTTTTGGTTTTGGACCTTCAACTCACCCACACTGCGTTTGCTGGGGTCCAGATACTCCAGAGGATAAGTCTGTCCAAACCCGGGGACACGGATGTCCACACCCGGCGGGGACGAGGTGGCATGTGTGGTCCTATTGTAGATCAACCTGCACACACACATACAAAATGTGAAAAGGAGCATTCGATCAGAATCAGTTCTGCATCTGTGGTGAACCAGACACACACAAATACATCTTACCACGAGGCACTTCCCATTTTAATTCACCATGGCTCTACCACCTTCTTAGTTATGTTGGTCATCAACTTCCCCAACTCTTGTTTTTTTGACGACCAATGCAGATGTGAGAGAAGATGTCTGGGTTTGCCAAGCAGAAGCAGATCTTTAAACTATGACATTTAGATACTTTCGAAAGCTACACATCTATGGTTGTGGATGGATCTTGGTCATATTTTAAAACAGTGCAAACTCTAATTGGTGTTATTTTTGTTTATCTTCCAAGGGTTAAAACTCTGAATTATGCTACATTTACCAGAATGTTTGAAAGTTAAATCTCTGACTCAGACAGTTTACACCTTCACTCTGTATCCACTAAAACAAACCTGCAGCATGACTCTCATGTCTTACCCACAAACTTTTATTCTGTCAGTGAAGTAACCTGGGTAGGTTCTTGGTCATTTTACATACTTGGCCTAAAACAGGCCTTTGTTCTCAAAAGGTGAATAACTGGCTTTGAAAACAGCTGTTC